TTCGTCAATCCCAGGGGCCCGAACCAAGAAAGTCCCAGCAGACTGGAGAGCCTTCCCCCCCACCATCAGCAAGTCCAATTGTCCATGGAAGTCCTGAAACTGCACTGTAAACTTACCCCAGCCCCGCATCGCCACAGGGTTCTTGTTGAAGTCCTGTAACTTAAACCCCTGTGGCTTCCGCAGAGGGGGTCCCCCCCGTGGGCAGAGCGAGTGCAGCGTTTCCTCTGAAATTATGGAATAGTTTGAACCAGTGTCCAGTTCCATGCTGCAGGGGGACCCCTCTATTAGCACCGTCACATGCACCTTATTTGGGCTATCGGGGGGGCAAATTACATACCTGGTGCGGCTGGTGGTGGGCAGAGAGGTTATGGAGGTTGGTGGGTTGATCTGCTGCTGTCTGGTGGGCTGCAGTCTTCTGGGGCTGTCGTTGGGAACGGCAGACCCATGCCAGATGGCCTGGCTTGTTGCAGGAGCGGCAGACAACCTCCCTGAAACGGCAACCCCGGCGTTCATGTGCTTCCCCGCAGCTGCCGCATTGGGATGATGCAGAGGGGGCTTTAGCCAATGGTGCTCCCCCAAAGCGATGCTACTGGGAGGGACGGCGGCGGCAGACCTGGAGCACTTCCTTGTTCTCGGAGTCGTCAGACTTGAGCGTTGCTTGCGTGCAATGGACCGCCCGCACTCGGTGGTCTTGGTGCGCCTTCTCGTAGGCCACGGACTCCCTGAGCGCCTTATCTAGGGTCAGGTCATCCTGGCTAACCAGTTTCCTACAGAGTTTGGGTTCCCAGAGACCCAAAAGGAACTGGTTCAGCAAGGTGTCCTCCAGGTGGGGGAAGGAACACCTGGTGGCTGCCCGCAGGAGCCCGGCCAAGAACTTGGAGGGTGGTTCGTCTGGCCCCTGGACCCGCACAAAAAAGTCCATGCGCTCGGCAAACTTTGTGGGCTTTGGTGAAAGGTGGTCGGTCAGCGCTTTCAGCAGCACCACATAGGACTCGTCCTTGGTCTGCTTTGGCGCAATGAGGTCCT